GCGACCATCTCTATATATCCTCGAACATTTCGGATGCGAAGTTTCAAAGGCAAAATTTCAGGCCGAAGGAACCACGCTGGCAGCAACGACGCCGGGGACTCGCACTACCACAGTCCGATCGAAGTGAGAAATACAAATCTTGTTGAATGTCATGACAATGTCTCCATCCAATTTATGAAGTGGCGATTTGGAAAATTGTCAATAGGAGTGGTTGAGGACGGTAATATAATATTTTTCGTATTTCAGACCCCGAACCGTTCACGAAGTACCGATGGGCAGTGCTGAGCATGTGGATAACCTTCTAAGATAGAAACGAAGATTATGGGCTAAACCTGGCTTTAAATATTCATTATTAAGGTTGATGCAAAAGACTTGGGACACTCGTTGTTTGTTTTGGAGTCTAACAATAAGTTACTAGTCACTCAAACTTACAACAAGTTACGTTAGTAACATCATTATCTATGACGTTAATCAAAGTCGCCTATCGTCTTCTCCCACCAAGAACAGCGCAGTTAATCAAAGAAGCGCAAGGAACTGTCTGAGCTGACTGGGGAAGAGAAAGCCAGAAAAGGCATGATAAGGGAAAAGGTGGATGAGAAACGGTATCTCAGTTATGTTTCTGTAACTTGGGCTTCTTCTTCTTCTAATCTTTCCGACGTGAGAGCGAACTTTATCGCAGAAGATGTACAGGAACCAATCACACTCACTTGCCGTCAATTGCATATGCACTCTCCTAGAGCTGACTGCTGCAAATAGTAGCTGTGACTATCTGGCCTTAAAGGAGTTCCGTATGGCATTTTTATGAGTCTTGGAAGCTGCACAGCATAATACTCCTCAGATGCCGGCGACTTTTTTGTTGTTGTCATGGAGAATATACTCTCGGAAGATCCTTTGGAAACTCATTTCGATTGGGGGTGAGAGGAAGCAAGTGGCTGACTGAGGCACGTGTTTGACGAAGATCGTCACCTGTTGGTGCGGATTTCGGCAAGAACTTTGATGTAACCGTGTTCCTGAAGGCTTTGAACGATGTTACTCTGATCGCACACAAGATTCTCCTCCAATTCCTTGTCGGCTTATTCATCGCTGAAAAGTCGGTCATCACCGATAGCAACTGGTCGTCTGGAGCAGGCGAATAAGCACCAAACGGTCACATGGCTGAGAAGATCTCGTCCGTTTGCAGTAGTGATGTTGGAAGCGGCGGAAAAAAGTACTGGAGCCGCGGCGCTTCTGGACGACAATCGCTAGAAGCTGATCTCTCGACATTCTTCAAGTGGTCTACACGAGACCTACTTGAATATTACCGGCTGTAACTCAGATTGTTCTAGAATATGGTGAAGGCATAAGGGCGTCAAAGGCTACGGCAGAAAAACGATGGCACATGTAAACTTGGCCTCAAGACTTTTGCATCAACCTGCTGTAAAAGTTGCTCTCACAGTTCGGCCTATTCGATTTGGAAATATTATAGTTAGCGATAGGAAGCCTGAAAAGATCATTTTGCCAATTTAATGTCTAAAAGGAAGGGCAGAAATGCGAGCGCAGCTTTTTCTTTTTACGGGATTATTTCTTTATTAGAAGGAGAGTGGGTCCGCTGAACGCACTGCAAAACATGGCTTAATCATTGCCAGGTCCAGCTCCTTCTTTACTAGTTCATGTGCTTGCCGTTAATGGCAACTCACTAGTAAGAACTGAGCATGTTCTTGCAAGGCTCGGCGATGATTTGATGTGCGCTCATTTAACCCTCCTTTCCAGGTGCTTTTCTTCCCATTCTATTTGCAGGGATGGTTTCTCGATTCTCTNTGCAAATTATGGCTTGATCTTTGCCAGCTCCGGCTCTCTCCTTACTAGTTCATATGCTTGCACGTACATAAATGGCAAATCACTAGTGAGAAATGAGCTTGTTCTTGCAAGGTTCGGCGATGATTTGATGTGCGCTCATTTAACCCTCCTTTCCAGGTGCTTTTCTTCCCATTCTATTTGCAGGGATGGTTTCTCGATTCTCTTCCTTCCACTCCAGCATCCCTGAAGACTGATGCGATGGTGATACAATCATCAAGGGAACCAGATCGCTGCCCCAGTCACTTCCAATAGATGATAAGAGGATGAGCTGCGCATTATGAAGTTGGTACATTTTTTATGTGGGAATGCTTGAGGGGATTCAGTCGCAACCCTTCTTATTAGATTGTCTTTAGTGGACACGCATCTATACTCTCTCCGATCTGGAATCGGTACATTCGGCAATGACAAGACAACCCTTCATTGAGAAGCGGTCTTATTCAGGCAAGATCAACATGTATAGGATCGGACGGTCAACTTCTTTCGACGATTGCGTCGTGAGGCGATCCGAGCTGGGATCAGAAGTATGCCTCTATTGATGTTCTCTATATTGGCCACTTCTTCATTGTCCTCAGTTCAGGTTGGCACCGTCTCCATCGGAACTGGCTCACTTGATTTCTCCAGAAGACTCTTCGGCACAATTTTGGAGCTGTGTAACTGGATCGTTGATGACTCTCGTCTGCAGGCACCGGAAATGTGTAGGAGTGCGAGGAGCAGTCAACTTGGTTCGACGTTTCTGTCGTGATGCGGTCCGGGCGAGGATCAGAAGTATGATTCCACGAATGTTGTTATTTTCAAGTTTTTTTTTCACTGCACTCAATTCAGGTTGACACCGTCTCCTTCAAAACTGGCTTAATCTTATCTTCAAATGTCTTCGGTGTATTCTGGAGGTGTGTTGCTAGATCGTCAAGGCCTTTTGTCTACATCTACGCGGATATGTGAAGAACTATATACAAGGAGGGATCAACTTCTTTCGACAGTCGTGTCGTGAGGCGATCCGAACAGGGATCAGAAGTATGTCACCTCTGACGTTCTCTATATTGCGCTCTTTTTCATCGCACTCAATTCAGGTTGACACCCTCCCGATCGAATCGACCATTCTTATTGCGCTCTTTTTCATCGCACTCAATTCAGGTTGACACCCTCCCGATCGAATCGACCATTCTCTTTCTCCGAAGAGCTCGCCAGTATCTTCTTGTGGCCGTGTAACTGTATCGTTGAGGACATTCTTCTACACTCACCGAAAATGTGTGGATTGCGAGGAGCGATCAACTTACTTCGACGTTCCGTCGTGAGGCGATCCGAACAGGGATCAGAAGTATGTCACCACTGATGTTGTCTGTATTGCCTACTTTTTCATTACACTCAATTCAGGTTGAGGCGTTCCTCAAGAAGACAGGCCATTTATGCGAGTGGGCTGTCCCTCGTATAAGTTTGATTCACAATCGTGGAGATCCGGGACGGGTTCGCCGCGAATTTGTCTCGGTAAGGATGCT